AGGGAGAGGAAGAAAGAAGTACGGATATTCCTTTCCTTCCAGCCCAGAGGGGGTCTCTTCCCTCCCCCCATATTTCCTGCCACTTTGGGGGGTAAGGAGGGGGCTCGTAGGGGGGAGGAGAGGGGCTGGGAGGGGCCGTCACTGCTCCGCCCCTCCCTCACTGTATTTCCCCCCCCGCAGGAGAATAGGGAGCCCCCCCCTTCCCTGGTTGTGGCCGAGGTGGGGCGGGGGTCGCGGGAAGGCAGCCCAAGTGGGATAAGAGGCAGCCGGGCCCCTCTCTCGCCCCTCCTCCCCGTGGCTGGGTGGGAGGGGGACCTTGCGGACCCCGAATTAACGCCTGAGCCCCGAAGCTTCTTGCACTGAAAGAAGAAGGGGACGGAAAGCGAAAATGAAAGAGGGAAACTGAGGCATTTTCAGAGTTGAATCTCCGTTTCTTCTCTTGTGGATGAACTCAAGGCAGACCCTGCCCGGAGAGCAATGACGATGCAGAACGCAGAATTCCCATTGGTTCTTCCGCTTTTCTGGGCCCTCCCAATTCCGAAATACGAGGAAACCGCTTCCTCCCCCAAAACCAGACCCACCGATTCCGCCTCTGGGGCTGGGAGCCTCCGCGTCTTTCTCCCCTCTCTCTGGGGGCGCTTGTGGGGCGGCATGCATGGGCTCTGTTGGGGTCCCTCTTTCGTTGCTGGTGGGGGCGCTGGCCCGGATCCCCGGAAGCGAAGGGGGGAAACAGATCCCCGGTAAGGAGGGGGTTCGTAGGGGGGAGGAAAGGGGCTGGGAGGGGCCGTCAGTGCTCCTGGGAAGGGGGAAAGAAAGGGGCTGGAACCCCAGTAGTGGGAAAAGGGGTCGAGGGCAAGAGAGGCGGGAGACTGCAGGAGCCTCGATCTCCGCGTGGTCTCCGCCCCTCCCTCACTGTATTTCCCCCCCGCAGGAGAATAGGGATCCCCCCCTTCCCTGGTTGTGGCCGAGGTGGGGCGGGGGTCCCGGGAAGGCAGCCTATGTGGGATAAGAGTCAGCCGGGCCCCTCTCTCTGTCCCCCCCCAGTGGCTGAGTGGGAGGGGGACCTCGCGGACCCCGAATTAGCGCCTGAGCCCCGAAGCTTCTTGCACTGAAAGAAGAAGGGGACGGAAAGCGAAAGTGAAAGGGGGAAACTGAGGCATTTTCAGAGCTGAATCCACAAAGGCCACCAAAGAGTATAAGAAAAAGTGTTTTTGCAACCTCCTTTTATTTTCTGAATCTCCATTTTTTTAAGGGGAGGGAAGAGTTGAGCTGGATTCCTTCTTGGGAGAGACTCTGAATTTGGGAAGGAGACCCAGAACCCCCCATCCCATATTCCCCCATTGCTGAATCGGGACCTGGAGGGGAGGAGGGAACTGAGGGAGAAGGATATTGGGTGGGGGGGGTCTGAATTGCTCCCCTAAATAGGCTCACCAAAACGATTTCTTTGGTGAGGGGGGGTTGGAGACCCTCCCTTTGAGATGGTCTTGGGGGGCTGCAAGGGGACAGAAAAGAGGGCTGAATCCCCAAATCACGCAAAGGCAGCCAGTAGGGGGTGAAGTTGATGGGAAAGAAAATTTGGGGGTAACTAGGGAATTTGGGGGTTCTCTTCTCCCCAAGATCCCCAGATCCGCAAGCCATCTAGGTCAAACTTGAGCAGCCCTCCCTCAACAGTGGGGGGAGGGAAACGACCCCCCATCTCCTGCCTATAACAGGATTCATTTCAGCAGCCCCGGGAAGGCTCCCCTTTGCCCCCCCAATTCAGAGGAACTTGAGGGCCCAGATAAACCCCTGGGGGTCCTCAAGGCCCCTCAGAGAACCAGTGACCGATTTTCAAAATGACCAAATGACCGCAAGGAATGTCCGTGTTTCCACCCTCCACCATTTGGTCAGAACGGAAGAAGCTTCTGGGAGGAGAAGCGAAACGTCTTCAAGGGAAAACCCAGGAAAGTCCAGCTGCCTTTTGGAAAAGCCCGTTTGGGCCAAGCGAGACCAGGAGGAGGGAGGGTCTCCGGAGAGACCCCCCCCCGGCTCCCCTCGGCCCTTCTGAAGTCTCTGCTGACCCAGCCTGGACTCCTCATGGGGGGCCTTAAGGGAGCTTAAAGGGGCATCTAGTCCACCCGTCCAGGCAGAAAGAGAAAGGGAGACTGTGGTTGAGAGTCATGGGGGGGGGGGAAATGAAGTCCACACACATTCTGAACACCCCCCTGATGCTGCAGCCCCCAAGACTGAAAATCTTCCCCTCCCTCGCCTTCTCCGCTTCTATAGGGAGGGATATTGGGGGGGGGGTCTGAGTTGCTCCTCCAAACTCCCCCTTTAGTGAAGGGAGCTGGAGCCCCTCCCTTGGAGGTGGCCTTGGGGGGCTGCAGGGGGGTCTGTTTGGGAGGGGGACAGGAAAGGCCTTGAAAAGAATGCAAAGGCAGAAAGTAGGGCTGAAGATTAGGGGGGGAAGAAGAAAAGGGAAGGGGGGGCTTGAAGGGCAGGGAGAGCCCAGGAGCATGGGTGTAGGTATCTTTATTGTGACCCCCTCCCCATATTCTCCCCCAAAGGGAGAGGATCTTACTGTCCCTCCAGCCCAGAGAGTTCCTGGGGGGGTCTCTTCCCTCCCCGCGTATTTCCTGTCGCTTTGTGGGGGCGAAGAGGCCCCACCGGGATCCAACGTTCCCTACAGAGTTAGGCCGAGTGCTGGACCAGCTGAACTTCTGCCTGCCTTTTTCCACCCTCGGGAAAAGGAGGGGGGTCCCTCAGGAAGCTCCTCCCCTCCCTCATTTTCCTCCCCCCTCCAGACCCCCACCAAGGGGGAATCCCGCTGGGACCGACGGTTCCCCATCCCTCCTCCAGGGGGCGCCTAACGGCAGTCTCTCACACCAAGTTTCCCTCCCCTCCTCTAATAAGATTGTGTGCCTCCTCGAGGAGAGGCTGGGAACCATGGGCCCTGGAGTCCCTCCTGGCGCTCTTCTTCCTCCTCCTCCTCCCCCCCGCAGCCCACTTCCTGTACCAGGGGAAGTGCGAGTGCCGCTTCCTCAACGGGACGCGGCGGGTGCAGTTCCTGGAGCGCTACATCTACGACCGGCAGGAGTATCTCCGCTTCGACAGCGCCCGCGGGGAGTACGAGGCCCTCACGGCGCCCTGGCAGGCGCTTGCCCAGGCTTGGAACAGGGATGAGCGCCGCCTGCAGATCGAGAAGACTGGAGTGGATCGTTTCTGCCGAAACAACTACGAGGTTTCCCAGAGCGGTTCCGCGGTCGGCCGGAGAGGTGAGTGGGGGAGGGGGAGTTCCTTGGGGGGGGGGGGAAATGCCGGGACCCCCCTTTTCTCCCGGATAAAGATTTGCCCCTTATGTATTCTCTGCTCTCCGATCTACGAAATTTATTCATTGGTATTTATTGATAAATAAACCGCCCCCCTCCCTCAAAGCGGGGATCTGGATGGCGTTCCATATAATATCACCCCTAAATAAAAATGTATAAAAAATAAGGTTAAAAAATAAATTACCTTTAAAAACTTTGAAATTCTACAACGATGACCATGCAACATGCAAAAGGGAAGGAATATATTTCTTCCCATCATCTTCCTTCTCTCCCCAAGGTCCAAAGTTTCCCCTGCCCAGAAAAACTTCTTTCCAGAACATTATACCAAATATTATACTGTTTCTGGGGGGGGGGGTGTCTCTCTCTTGCCCAGTATATAGATATATATTTAATATAATCTATATGCGATATAATATTTCAATATATTTTATATTAATAAATCAATATTTCTTTCTTGATTTACTTATTAACTTTTAAAACCATCTCTCTCTCTCACAGAGGGACTTTGCATGGTGTACACATAAAATATAAAATTACCAAAATAGTCTATACAATTTAAGATTTAAAAGGCAGGAATGATTAACATCCAGTGATAAAAATTCCTTAAAAGGGGGGGGGGGCTTCAGGAGGCTCACCGGCCCCACGGCTGCCTCCTCCTCTGTGCCCCCCAAGCAAAGCCCCAGAGCCCCCTTTTCACCCCTTTCCGGAAGGCCAGGAATGGGGGAGGGGCTCCCTTCACCTCTGGGACCTTTGGGATTTTAGGATAAAAAGTGAACTTCCAAAGGTCTGGAAAAGGGAATTAGTGAAGGCTCTTTGCTTTGGAAATGATTTAAAACAAATAATATTTTCAGGAGTGAAAAGGGATCTTGGCCTGAACTAACCAACTTGGTCTCCTGTTCTGGCCCCTCCTGTGTCTCCCCCATGTCCCTCCTCCCCTCCAGCCAAGCCCACCGTCTCCATCTCCCCCACCAAGCTGGACCCCGCTTCCCACCACACCATCCTCCTCTGCACCGCCAGGGGCTTCTACCCCGTGGAGATCGAGGTCCGGTGGCTGAAGAACGGGCGGCCGGAGGAGGAGGGCGTGGCCTTCAGGGAGGAGCTCCAGAACGGAGACTGGACCTACCAGCTCCAGGTGATGCTGGAGACCCAGCCCCAGCGGGGGGACGTCTACGCCTGCCAGGTGGGGCACGCCAGCCTGGAGGCCCCCATCACCGTCCAATGGGGTGAGCCCCTCCCCTCCTGCTCTTGGGACCCCATCCTGCCCTGAGAAGGTTGGAGAGACCCTCCCTGTTGGGGGGAGCCGGGATGGACCCTCCTGGGGGGGGAAAGCTGGCCCTGATCCTCCTGCTCAGGGGAGGCTCCTTCTCCTTCCCCAGAGCCCCGTTCCTCCAACTCGGCCAGGAGCAAACTCTGGACGGGGATCGTGGCAGCCGTGATCGGGGTGATCTTCTTTGCCATGGGGCTCTCCCTCTACCTGAAGAGCAAGACAGGTGAGTCTGGGGGGCTGGATGAGAGATTGTGGGGAGGGGAGCATCCAGGGGAGGCCTCTCAGCAAGCTTAGCAGATGGCAAGGAGGCTCCCCTGGGAAATTTGCTTGGGAAATTCTGTTCTCTGAGACTCTACTGTATAAGTGAGCAACGTGCAAACTATTATGGGCTATCGATGGGGAGGGGGACCCCTGAGTCCTCCAGGCCATGAAGGGTCCTGATTGGTTCTTTTTCTCCTTTCAGCAACTTCCATCCAGCCTCCTGCAGGTGAGTTTTAAGTTATAGATATTTCTTTAACATTCTTTAATTGGTCGTTTTTTTAGAAAAAAAATGTGCCTGAACAAAACCTTCTTGCTGTGGATAACACAAATGTTTGAAACTTTGGTCAGGTTTTCCTTACATAGACCTGCAAATGCATTGCAATCAAAAAGAAACACATATACATAAACACATCCCTCCAGGATGTTTACGTTTTGGGAAATTTCAAAAGAGAAGGGAAGTCTCCTTGTGACATTTCACACAATTTCTGGCAAAGTGACACCCGGCTTTGCTGCCAGCCCCATCCTGGCCCCATCTTCTTTGTTCATATGAAACGTCTGGGGGGGGGGAGGCCTCCTTTCTTGATTAACTCCCTAATTAAGTCGATTAGAGAAAATTCCATCAACTCCAGAAGAATAATCACTGGTCCTTTGTATCCTTTTCTTCCCTGAAAGGGGGGGGGATTCTCCCTCATTCTGTCCCTGCCTATCAACCACCCCCCTGCAGTGTGGGACTTCCTGGGGGGGGCTGTAAGAATAATATGTTATTTACACTGAAGGTTTATATTCTAATTTTCTTCGTCTCTTTTTTTCTTCAGCACTCATGAATTAATCCTGCCATCCTTCCTGATTCCTGATGGGAAAGGATGTTTTTTTTTCTTCAGTAGCTGATGAATTTCTGACTTTTTCGCAACCTCTGAAAAAATGGAGGCTCAAGATTTTAAATTGGGGAGAGGAGGAGAACGGCAGCCTGGAGCTTCTCCTGATAAGCCACCCCCCATCTTCCTTTGAGAGCCTCTCTTTCTTGTGAGGGAGGGGTGGAGACCATCTAGACTGACCCCAAGGACTCTGGGCCCGCCTGTCAGTCCAGAACCCCAAATCTCTCCCAGCTCTGAACCCACAGCAGCTTCATCTCCATTACTCTTCCTACGAATCACTTCGCTTTGTTATTTATTTTTTTTTATTATTATTCCCATTTATACCCCGCCCTTCTCCCGAGGGACTCAGGGCGGCTTACAGGTAAATAAAAACAGTGCAATACAATAAATATCTAAAAGCCAAATTAAAATATATATTAAATGACCTGTATTAGATTTAAAATTATAAAATCCCTTTAAAATCCCTATAAAATCCCCCCCTAGGCCAATCCCGCTTGATGGAAAAGAATAAAATTTATAAAAGAATAAAATTTATATTGTAGGAAAAATCCTGGAATTCTTCCTTCCTTCCTCTTCCTCCTCCTCTTTCCTGCCCCCCCTCAGAGAGTCCTCCCTTCTCCCCTCCCCCTCCTCAGATTGAGGCCTCCCCTGCCTCCGGATTGACCATCCAGGCTACTTTAGGTCTGAACCCAGAACCGGTTCTGGAGGAGGGTGGGCAGATCCCTGGGAGTGGAAGGGGCAGGACCCCCCCTCCTCTTCAATCTCCCCAAGCCCTGCCAGATGGAGGTGACCCCTCGGAGATCCCCAATTCCTGCTTCCCCTGGAGAGCCTTTTCCGTGGCTGGGAAGCTGCTGGAGCTGGAGATTCCCTGGCTTCATCCGGGGCCTCTTTCTCCAGAATCGGAGCCGGTTTGAGCCCCTCACAAGCCAGGAGAGGCTCCTGACCCATTCGCACCCAGCGCCCCCTCCCTCCCTCCCTTTTCGGGGCCCTGATACCCTCAGCTGCTGCCCCTCCAGACAATCTCCCCCCCACGTCCATCTCTCCCCCCCAAACAAAAGCTGCCAGGGCCCTGGGGGGGGAGAGCAGGGTGGCCTCCCTGGGGATGGAAGGGAGACTTCACTTTCTCTGCCGGTGGGTGAAGTCACAAAGGCCTCTGCCCGGAGACCGATGACGCTGTAGGAGGGAGAATTCTCATTGGGTCCTCTCCTTCAGGGCATTTCCAGTTCTGAAGTCCGAGGAAAACGCCTCCCCCGCCCCCACTCCAGACCCCCCCCCGATTCCGGCTCTGGGGCTGGGGGCCTCTCTGGGCTCTGCCGGGGTCTCCCTGCTGCTGGGGGGGGGGCGCTGGGCCATTTTCCTGGAAGCAAGCGGGGAAGGAAAACCCCGGTAAGGAGGATAGGGGGAGGGGGCATTTTTCTGGGACTTCGTAATTGGCAGGGCTCAGAAAAGCGGAAGTACCAATGAAAACCCTCCCCTCTGCAGCGTCATCGGTCTCCGGGCAGAGTCTCCCTTGACTTCGCCCGATGGAGGAGATAGTTCGGAGCAGAGCGAGAAGCTGGGAAAGTGGCAGGGGGGATATTTTCAGGGTGGGGTGGGGCTGAAGCTTCAGGGGGGGAGTGTTTCATGCCAGCTCCGCAGTGGAGTGCGCACTTCTTTTGGGGCCCCGCCCCAGCATGATTTTCAACCAGTCTTCCTTTCTTGGGTCTGGCCAGTCTAAAAAGAAGAAGAAATAGGGGAGACATGATAGAAGCATTCCTGTATTTGAGGGACTGCCACAAGGAAGAGGGGGTGAGGTCAAATTATTCTCCAAAGCACCAGAGGGCAGGCAACAAAACAAGGGTTAGAAACTGATCGAAGAGAAAAGCAACCTGGAACTAAGGATAAACTTCCGGACAGTGAGGACAATTAACCAGTGGAACAGCCTACCTCCAGAAATTGTGAGCACTCCATCACTGGAGGTTTTTAAGAGGAGACTAGACAGTTGCTTGTCTGGTATAGGTTCTCCTGCTCAAGCAAGGGGCTGGACTAGAAGACCTCCAAGGTCCCTTCCAATCCTATCCTATCCTATCCTATTCTATTCAATTCTATTTTATTCTATTTTTACAGTATTTCTTTTGACACCTTTAGTAAAGTTGATTTTCATTTCAATCCGGGAGTTGACCCATGGCCTTCTTGTACCTGCCTAAGCTTGTTTGAGCTATTGACTCCCCAAACCAGACTAGGATGAATTTTATCTTCAATCCTTTTCAGTCCAATTCACTTGAATACCGATATGCCAAACCTGTCAGGAAGTTACAGGCTATAAATAAATGTCTGCTACTGGAAATTCCTCACCAGAAGTCAGAGTCTTGTCAGCACCTCAGACCAGAGAAGCTGGAACTGGAAGCTGTGAGAGAGGAAGCCATGAAGAAGATGGAACCTGATCTGAAGCTGAAATGAACGGAGATTGCTGAGAAAGAGCATCTCAGGAGAAAGAGAAGGAACACCAAAACCGGTGAGAGAGTTGCAACACCATATCATCTTCACTTACTCTCTTCTCCCCAGTAGAACCCATAACCTGGAGGAATGGAAATACCAATTCATAAAGAACCATAAAAGAGATGAGGTTTAGACCTCACTAATTAAATTTGAAGATCCTGCCAAGCTTACACCACTATAAAGCCCAGGAAATGACTCATAAGTCTCTTGTCTTGAAGAGTTGCGTAAGTCAAATATTGGTTGACATGTGTGCTGAGGAAAAGGAGGAAAACCAATAGTTTAAAAACATAATATTTATTTGTTTGTTTGTTTACTTATTTATTTATTTATTAATAATATATTTGATGATTATCCTGAATTTTCATTTAACTAACAAACCAGATATTTATTTCCTTCAGTTTTAATAAACATAAGTTTTCAAGCAAATCCAAAGGAAGAATATATAACGAATAAAAATGGATAATTAGATGTTACCAGCCTAAGAAACTATTTCACAATCGTTCCCCTGCTTTTGTCATTAGATGTTCCTTAGTGTTTAGATTTGGTGTCAGGATGATAATGTAGCACTTGGGAAAGAAGATGCAGCTCAATAGTCCAGCACCGGAGGCCAAGATGGAGAAGACCTGCACGGCCACCATGTATTTTCCTTTAGTGCTCAGGTAGGTGGGGAGGAAGGAAACCCAGACACTGCAGAAGACCAGCATGCTGAAGGTGATCAGCTTGGCTTCATTGAAAGCTCCAGGAAGGTTCCTGGCCAGGAAAGCAACAGTGAAGCAAATTGCAGCAAGGAAGCCCATGTAGCCAAGAACAACATAAAACATGGTGACAGAGCCTTCGTTGCATTGAAGGATAATCTCTTCAGGCTGGGAGTGCAGATCAGAGTCAGGAAATGGGGCAGAAATTCCCAACCACATGGCACAGATGAGAATTTGGACAGCAGAACAAGAAATGATGATGGAGTTGGCCAAGCTCTTCCCCAACCATCTTATCACTTTATTGCCTGGTTTTGAGGCTAGGAATGCCAGCACTACTGTGATTGTTTTAGCCAACACAGACGACACAGCTACTGAGAAGACAATGCTGAACACTGTTTGTCGGAGAAGGCAGGTGGCCTTTCTTGGTCGGCCAATGAAGAACAAGGAGGATAAGAAGCAAAGCAGAAGGGAGACCAGGAGGATGTAGGAGAGGTCCCGGTTGTTGGCTTTGACAATAGGAGTTTCAAGGTATTTAATGAATATGACTAAAACAAAGGCTGTGATTAGGAACAAGAGTAGAGCAAAGGAGATGAGGATGATGCTGAGATGTTCTTCACAGGACAGGAAGGTTATTCTTTTGGGGATACACTGGACTTGGTTCTCGGCTGGATATTGATCATCTCGGCACTTGGTGCATTTTTTGGTATCTGAGAAAAGAAAGTAATATTTCTTTTATAGTCTTTCAAATTTTAAAAAAACTTTGGATAAGATGTGATATAGAGAGACAGAAAAGTCTCAGTAAATGGAATATACTTAAACTACTACAACAAAAAAATCCCCAATACACACTATAAAAAGAACAACAAAAAATATATAAAATTAAAGGAAGATCCATAAAGTGGGAATGTTTTAGGGAATAGATTGTTTGCATGCCAATTTTATCTGCTCTGGTGGGACAAGGAGTTATCCTCAAGGAGAGGAAACCCTGCAGATACCCTGTTTCTATCTCATGGAGGGTTTGAAATGTGAATTTAATTACACCTGGAAAGAAACTGGGATTCTGTGGAGCCTGAATAGCAGGGATGTTCTATGGAAGAACACACGGAAACTCAACACTGTGCATGCCTTTGCATTCTGGTCCATTTTATAAATTCCAGGTGGTTTTCAAGAGCAACCCTATGAGTATGGGATAAAAAGATAAAAACAGAAAACTGATGGCAGAAAAAGACCTAGTGCTGCGTCCAGTCTGCCCTTTGAGTTTTTTTGTTTTCTTATTTATTTAATATTTTATTTCATTATTTTTTTTAAAAATCAGATGATGGACATATGTTTATCTCAAAAATCTTTAAACCCAGTTACTGGTGATTGACTGACCAACCATGCTCTCAATACACTGCTCCAAAAATAAAGGACAGAGGATGAAAGTTGTCTAACATGGTTGGATCCGTGGAGAACCACTTGAGAAGGGTTGCAACACTGACTATTTCGGGATAGGTTGTACAGCCCCTTCACAAAAACAAAAAACAAAAAAAACCCAACAACATTGACTATCCTGAAATTGAGAGTGTCTCCTAACTATTAGGCCTTCTAGAAATTCCTTCAAATGTGATTCTTTCAATGGTCCTTGGGATCCCCTGATCTCTTGCTTTCTTAGCATTTATACCTCAATGTTTTAATTTTTATTATTGGTTTGATTGTATTCCACCAAGAGTCACTTTGTGTGAAATAGCCATATAAACCTGATAAACAAATTTGAAAAAACACCTTAAGGAAGATTAATTCATAAATAAATTCAACAACAGGAACTGAGTGTCTTATCTGTAATGTCTTTTTACCCTGTAAAAATGAGAAGATAAAGCAATATCTTTCCATATTCTCTCGATTTGGCAACAATTTTAAAGAGAATGAATTCAACATTAGAATCAAAGTATATTTAGCAGATTGGTCTTTTATTAGTTCTCTGTTTCCCCCTTCTTTCTGTTCATTTTAATCCGAACACTGCATATTAGAATTTTTTTCCTTTTAGGACCATGACTATATTCCCCCCCCCCTTTTTGGTGTTATATCTCACTACAGTATGTAACAAGAAAGAAAATTGGAAAGATAAAAAAAGGTGGAAAGGAAATATCTACTTGATGATTTTATACTGAATCCTCTGTTTCATTTTCATTGTTCCTTTAACCCAACATCTCTCCCTCTATTGTTCCTTCCAATTAGATATTTCAGCTTATAAGGATATATGGTCTTACTAAAGATTAACTGATCAAATGAATGATTGATCGATGCATCTATCAGCCTATAATGTAAAGTTGGTTTAGGTAAACAAAACCCATTGATCTAAAACCATTCCTCAAGTTTCAAAGAATACAGATATTTCTAAGAAAGATAAATATGGATGGAAACATCCAAACTGGGAAATGAAAGAGAGATTTCCCATGCAATCCACAACATCCTTCTTTCTACCTCATTATTCAAGATATTTTTCTTATCCTTCCCATTATGGAAGAAATTGGACACCATGAAAATTGAGAACTAAAAAACCAAACTTACATGTGTCTTTAACATGCATATTGATCAAAGTTTCCCTATGGTGTCACCCACCTTCCTGAGTGGAGATGGTCCCCTCTGGACAAGGAATACAGTCGTAGCAGCAAAATGGCTTTCCTTCTCGAGCCTGCTTGACAAATCCAGGAAGGCATTTTTCCGCACATTTAGACTGAGGCAGAGACTAAACAGAAAAAGAAGAAATGCTAAAGAAAATATTTTAGGACTCACCATCCATGTAAGATGGAGGTAGACATGAACATCAGCAAAGTTGTCTCTGGTCTTCATGTAGGCAAATATGTAATCTCTGACCCCTTCCAAATGGTTGCAGGAGATACAATTGCAGGAAGATGCTTCATTCAGTTTCTCCCTTTTTCTTCTGATTTATCAGATTACAATAAAGTAGCTTTCTACTTAACAAAGTCTGGATGGATGAAATTGAGAAAAGATTTAACAATTAAGTGGCAACCAATGGGTTTCACTTCATAGTGGAATTAACATGCATTCCTCCATTCTTCATACATGCTTTATTTTAAAATATAATATCTAAAATACTAAATTTTGGAGTAAACTTTATTGTAAAAAATTATTAAATTTTCATTTCATTGGATTTATTGAAATAGAATAAAACTGTGATGAAGAAAGAAACTTTTAACCAGTTGGATCTGGAAAGGATTCTTCTGGAGTGCAGAAAATATTGCAAAGCTGCTTCCCTTTGAAAGCAGTTCAAAATTATCTCCCAGTTAAGATAAAAAGGAAAACTCCCTTACAAATAAGGGCTGTCAACTTTAAAGATATTCTTCATTTATATATATATTTGTTCAGTTTATATGGCTGCCATGCTGGTGAACTAAAACTAAAACTGGCTGACTAGTTTCTTAAACTATAGTGAGGTGAGATGGAGGTGAGATCATGAGAACGTGTCCTTCAAAAAGGGTGAATCAGGCATCTTTTGGTGCACCACATGGGTCATGAGTGTGAGCCCTGTATGGGAAACGGATATTCAACACAAGGTATCCAACACAAGGTCCTTTCTGTTGAAAGAATACAATTAAGTGACACAATCTGACAGGGAAATACACACTATTATTAATTTGATTTGTAGCCTCTCAGTGTGTCCTAAGGCAGCTAACAATCAAGATAAACAATTGCATTCAAGGGATTTGCAGATGAAGTGCACTCTTAGAAGCCAGTGCCCAAATCTAAGTAACATTTCCCTCAAAATTGTCCCTTTTTATTTCTGATTTTTTTTTCACCAAAGTGATGCTTCAGTACTTCAGTAAGCCAATAGTGAGATGGGCAGCAAATCAATCAATCAATCAATCAATCAATCAATCCATAAATGAGCTCACATCAGACCAGTCATTATTATTTCATGTGAACTGAAAGCCTTGAACTTCCTTCCTAAATTCCACTATCCCAGTGGGGTTAGAGACAGGCAGCTATAAGCATGTTCTCAGCTGATTAAAAACATTCCAGACTCTGAACCTGCAATTTTGGGAGACCCCTGACTCCAATCAAGGCAAGATGAAGCTTATTTCACAATTGGACCAACAGGACCTCCATCCAGTCTTCATTCCATTTCACTGGATTCAGTCCAAATCTGAACTCAGGGACTGGTCAACAGAATTGCCTTCACCTTTGTTATTTGAAGACAAAAAACTAGTGAACTTGAAGCTATTAACACCAAAATCTCCAGCATATGAGGCCCTGTCTCACTAG